CCCTCCCCGCTGTGCTTTTGCTCTGGCCCCTACTCTTTAGATTGTGTCCAGTGACCACTGAAATGCCGAAAATGTTCAGTTTCAACATGTGACAAAGGTAGGGCCATTAGAGCATTTCTTCCCAAGGAGGTAGTATTTGCCTAAGTGGAAGAAAACGGAAGAGTTTCCTATTTAATTCTGGTGAAGAACATGTGATGGAAAAGGATCGTCTTTTGACGTCATTTGTCATCCCCACCCCACCCCCTTTCTTGCAGGTCTTACATTTCTTCTTTTAGGATGCTCCCCCTCTTTTGGCTTTCTCAATTGTCACAGAACATTTACACAATGACCTGCGGTGTTGGGACACCCTTTGATGAAAATCTAAGGACAACTTGGGTGAAGTACAGCTGTTAAGTAAGAACACGCTCTGTCCTTGCCTTTTGAAAACGATTTGTTCCAACCAGCGTGTCCAACAGACGCAGGCAGGAGCTTCGACACAGCCCGACTCCCCGACAAGCAGGGTTGCTCAGCTAGACGTCGAGATTCCCGCTCGCAAACAAACGCCCTGGGGCGCGCCCGCGGTTTTTGGAGAAAGTCTAGAGGGTAGGACGGGGCGGAGAGGGCCAGGGAGAACCTGATCTCGGCCCCGAGGGTCTGCCTCGCGGCCCCTCGCCTCTCGGGGAAAGTGCAGGGAGAAGCCACGGCCCCGCCCCGCTGGAGCAGGTCGTTGGGACGGCGGCGCACCCCACCCGCAGGGGCCCGCAGGGGCCCGCAGGAGCGGCGCCCCTCCCCGCCCCCACGCAGGAAGCGCGCGGCTCGTCCCCACCCGCCGCACCACCGCCCGGGGACTCGGTCGTAAAGTCGCGCGCCCTGGGGGCGGGGGCGTTTCGGCGACCTGGCGGCGGGGAGGTGCTGGCGCGGCCCTTTCCCGCGGGTCCTGCACTTCCCGGCCCCGCTCCAAATCCCACCCCGATGCGCGCTGGCTCCAGCCGCCCCCCCACCCAAGCCCAGCTCTCCGCGTGCCCGCCCCCGCGCGTCTCCAGGACCCGCCGCGCCCTGGAGGTTCTTGGCCTCCCAGCTCCTTCAACATCTGGGTGCGGGGATTAGCCGCCAGATGTGGCTCTTGAGCGGCCAGATGCGCGCCCCCGCCCGCGGCCTGGCAGCCTGAGACGCTGGGCGGACGCGTGGGAGGCGCTGGGAGTTTTCCCTCCGAGCTGACTTGAAAGCCTCGAACCCCGGTCCCCAGGGCTCAGCGCGTTCGGGGACGGGGCCTGGAGCCGGGCGGGGGAGGGATTAAAAGTCAACCCGCTCCGTCCCTGCTGCCTCGCGGCTCCTGCGGCTTCTCCCACCCGCAGAGGAAACAGAGCAGCTCGACGGGTTCCCCGAGGAGCAACCCTGTGTTTTGACGGGCGACTCAGCCCGCCAGGTGCGCAGCCAGCCCGCGCCAGGTGTGGGGAGGTGGCAGGGAGGGGAAGGCCAGGGGGTGCAGTTGCAGTCAGGGGTGGCATCTGGGACTTGCCCTACGGCACTCTGAGGTGGTGGATTCCACGTTTGACGTTGGAGGTCGTATTCCACCCGGTACAGGCAGATCAGGCGGGAGGAAGGCCAAGTGAACCCTGTGACTCGACTCTCTTGGAATGTGCCTGGAATAATAACGGAGACTTGAAAGGTTTTTATGGCCGAGGTAGCTGGTGGAGGGGGAGCCGGCTCCTGCGCCTGCAGCTGGCTGACGGCCGAGGGGGGCAGCATTGCCTTTTGGAGTGCTGCTGCGTCTGCAAACAGGACAAAAATAGTCGGAGCATCTGGTTTGTATCAACCCCGGAGCACTTCTACCAGCTTAACCCGCCGTCCTAGGGAACGGACAGAACCAGACCAGCCAAATGGGTTCGCGGTGCTCTTTTGCAGCTATAGGTAAACGCAATCACAGCTTTACCTTTAGGATTGATCAGTCCTAACATATAACTGTCATTTACATACATAAACGTGGCAGATTAAACTTCCTTTTTCTGATATTGTGTGTGGGGTAGAGCCCGAGCATTCACATGGCAAGAGACGCTTTAAATAGGATGCCTTGTAGGGGAACTGATGTTGAACTGTGTTGTCCTAGAACAGTTAAAAAAAAAGTGTCCTGAGTGTAACCTCGAGCTTGCTTATGCTACTAAGTACACGGGCACTTTTCTCTCCCTTTCTGCCTGCCGCAGAATTCCAAAGGCAAGTTGGAACAAAAGGCAAACGTGTCTCAGTGTAAAGAGAGAACTTGTGCCAAGAATTATAGTCACAGGGCAAATAACCTTGTTTTCTCCTTCGTCTGTGGCCGCTATCAAACTCTGCTCTTGGAAGGTGGCCAACAGTCTGTCTGGTGGAGGGTGCTGCTAATTAGAGAGAGCCCATAAACCTCTCTGTCAAAGAGGGCATGTGACCTTCCCTTCAAGTCTAAACAATAAAGCTGGCGAGCCGCAGACTGCACTCAACGCTCGCTGCACTGCGGATTCCCTAAATAGGAGCAGGATGAAGGCCAGTTTAAGAGGTTGCCATAGCTCTGCTCTCACACTTTGAGGAATCGGTCACTCCGCTTCCCAGGATAACTTGTTTCAATTACTCTCTGCAATCTATTTGGAGGCAAGCAGCTTGCAGGGAGAACTCATTGTCTAAATGAGGAAGTAATTATTACTTGCTGCAGTCTCAGGTGCTTTGGGACCGTCGGGTCAAATATCAACCAGATCCCACGTTAACGTCACTTTTGCACTTCGGAGATGAGATCCTTTCAATGACAGCCCTGCGCCTGCTTTTCTAAAACGCTTCCCTCCCCAAGATTACAGCATTGTTTTTACTTTTCTTAGTCTTCCATGTCTTTTCTAATATTGGCATTTAAATGCCAAACTCTTAGGATTTCATGTTAAAGAGTCATTAAAAACTTTATAGGCATATCTCAATAGAGTAAAATACAGTTCCCCAACTCTTCCCTTCTTTGTCTAATTTACCTCCCTGGGAGCGGCTGCAAGCTTTAATTTTACACAGCATGCTGTCTACTATAAATAATATAGCTCCACTTTCTAGAACATATGGAAACTGTCTCCTGCTATGGAGCCTAACTATACTTGCTTTCAACTTAAACACGGAATAAAATTCATCTCTTATGTAAAAAACCGCCTTGGTCCTTTTTGGATGTGTTTTATTAGCTAAAATCCACTGTGGAAGAAAACAAAAAAATTCTTGTTGTGAATAGGGCACATAAAAGGGTTTACAAGGTGTGGTCTGAAGAGAGGAAGCCATGGAGCAAATGTCGGGGGAGAGAGGAAGGAAGGAAGGAAAACACTTCCTGAGAGGATACTCCTCCCTTTTAAGCTACATCCTCTCCTTTCTTCAAATCTCTTCCTGTTTGTCTTAGCCAATAAATTATAGTAAATTATGTCTTTATTTTTCCTATTCATTTGAAAAGCATCCTTTTTCTCCTAATTGAAGTAACTCTAAGGGCCAAATCTATTATTAGCTTCAAGTGACTAAAAAACTTCATTTAATCTAGACATGGTTTGGAATGTTTCGTTTTATATGTACAGTGAGAATAATTTCAACGTTAACTGCATATTCTATTTGACAGGTTTAACAGTAGTCTGAAGTCATAAATATTATGGGAGCTCCTAGGTGTGTCTCAAAATTTTTATCTATGTAAAATAGAGATTATTCTGCTTCACAATATTTGAAAACATTTTTGTATATGTTAGTTATTACAATTGAATAGGGGCATCACAAGTTTTTTTTTTTTTTTTTTTTTTTTGTTTTTAACTGAATCACCATGAGATACACAGTTACAAGGCTGTTCATGGCCTGGTTTCAGTCTGTATGTTCCCACACCCATCCTTCCATCATGTATATTTCCCATCATCATGGCATCACAAGTATCATAAGGTCTAATTCTTTCTCTTCCAAATAAACATCCCTTCTTTGTGTGATAAATAGAAGCCAAGATTTATAATTTCTATACAACTTTGTATTTCAAGGCAAATGGTTGTTTTGGAATTAATCTTAAGGATGCTGAGATGAACTACTATTTTTGTTGCTGTTTTGGTGGTTCAGGGAATTGAACACAGACCCTCCCTCCCTCCCTCCTCCTCCTCCCCCCTCCCTCCCTTCCTCACTCCCTTTCCTTTCCTCCTTTCCTCTCTTCCTCCCTTTCTTCCTTTGCAATGCTCAGGGTTTACTCCTGGTTCTGCACCTAGGCAGAACCACTGATGGGCCAGGGACATTAGGGGATGCTGGGGGTTGAACCTGGGTTGGTCACATGTAAAGAAAGCACCTTACCTGCAGTACTATCTCTCTGGCTCAGATGAATGACTTCAAAATAGATGCAGGGGGGCTGGAGTAACAGCAGGGAAAGTACACTTCTTGCATGCCAACAACCTATATTGGAGCCCTAGCATCCCATATGGTCTCCAGAGCACCTCAAGCACTCAGTGATTCCCTGAGTGCAGAGCCAACCTGAGCACTGCTGGATGTGACCCCCCAAACAAATAAATGAGTAAAAATAAAACCGATGGAGGACTGGAGAGGTGATATAGTCCACACTACTTATGGTCTCCCTGATTCTGGCCAAGAGTGATCTCTGAGCACAGAGCCAGGAAAAACTCCTGAGCAGTGATGGATGTGCCCCCCCAAACAACAAAAATAAATGAACAAGCAAACAAGACTTTGAAAAAATAACAAAACAGATGGAACTCCTGGAAATTTTAAATACATAAAGCTGAATTTTGTATTCTATTTCACGCCTGATACAGATAACCAACACAAAGTAATAAACAGGGTTTCTGTAGTACTTGTTATTTTATATCTTTCCTTTCTAACATCCATATCCAATAACTTAGTGGTGTTTCTCTTACTCCAGAATACAAATATGGTCTTTTAAATTTGCTCTGTAATCTTAAGTATGTGTATATGTTGTCTATTATTATTATTCAACCAACACACTCATGATATCAAGTAATGAAACCAAACATACTCTGACACAAGAAAATAACACACGTCACTAAGAAAAAAATGTTTATTTTATATTTAAGCTTTCAAAAAACACCTTTGCAAAATTATCCCATACTAGGTTTAAAGACAGTCTTTACAAAGAGATTTAGAAAATTATAAAACCTTTCTTTTAACTACTAAAGCTCAAAGATTTAGAAACTGTCAGAGAGAAAATGTTAATTTAAGGTCAATGTTTAAGGAGTTAATATACATTAAATCTGTAGGACACTGCTAGAATGTTAAATCTTAAAAACATTAAGAGGAAAGAAAACACCTTTTAAAAGTTTTATTCTAAAATGATGTTAATTAAAATATATACAATGCATAAAACAGTAACAAAATCTCAAAATTTATCAAATAGCTTTGCAAAGTAAGTCAACCTACATAAGAGAAAACAGGACTTTTTTTTTAAGTAGCTAGGAACTCCTTAATTTTTCCAATTCAAGAAAAATTTTTAAAAATTTAGTTCATTCTGGTTAAAACACAAATTACTTAAAATAAGGCAGCATTTTATCATCTTAAACAACACAAAAGTTCATGCATTCCAAAAGCATAAATGTGTTATTTAAAAAAAATTTATCTAATATTTTAGATAAAAGTGGAATATTTACAAACTTTGTAACACTGTAATGATCTTTGGTGGTGATATATGACTTAAATTCCCTGAAAACATGTTTATAATTCTTTTTCAACCAATTATGTAGTCAAGTATGTATAATGAGTCAATAGTGCAGGCAGTACTATTTTCTAGCAATACCAGAGACAGAAAGTTAAGTCAGTAAGTAGAGGTAATCTTATGTGAGATCTAGGCAGAACTAAATAATCAATTACAGAGCAATAAAGCTTATTTGCCTCATTTTTACACTGGAAAATTATGCTAAACTAAAGAATAAGCCAATTCTCCTAAGCTAACTCTAGATCTAGTTACTGAATAAGATGAATGAATATAGAATAGAACATTCGCCCTAATTTCAGGATCTCCCTTAACAGCTTCCAAAATCATGCCGTAAGTGGTTTTGTGCAGTGTCTGATACTCATGTAGCAGGTGGTAGTGGTGGTGGCAGGAAAGAATAAGGCACTGAGTCCAGGAACCAATTTTTCTCTTTAAAAAGCATCTTAAGAGGGACAATAATTTTGTCCAGGGAGACAGCTCAAAGAACTGGAGTGCCTGCCTGATATACGAGAGGCCTGGGTGTGATCCCTGGCACAATATGGTTTTCAGAACACTGCCAGGAGCAAGCCCTGAACGATGAGCTGGGAGTCAAACACCCCCGACTCCCACTGTATGGTCAGGTGTGGGTCTCCCCCCACCACCAAAATAAGAGGAGAACTTTATATTGTCTTAAGTTTTAAGACAGTATAAAGATAAAAGGAAAGAGCTTGCTGAAAAAGAAGCAAAATTTAAGAAATGTAAGAAAAGGAGAAAAAACAAGTTATAGCAAAGCAAAGTAATACCAATTATTTATAAGAGTACACCAGTAGAAATAGAACATGATGCACTGTGTGAAGGAATCTAGTTAATCAGGGCTGCATTAACTAGAGATTATTTCTGGTTTTTGTTAAGTTTGATTCCAGATATATAAAGGGATAAATAATTCTTTCACTTGAACAGGATGTATGAGTTTACTGTAACAAAGAATAGGCTGAATATTGAGATTAGACTTTCAAAAAGGTGAAACGATTCAAATTAGCCCTCACAAGTAATGTTTTTGATACAAAATCACTTACATGACCTTGTCGGGTAATTTGAGGTGGCACTGCTTTTGCATAGGAAAGACAAGTCTCTTGAAGCATTTTCTTCCAAAAGTTTATAATCAGAATACACAGAAAATCTGAACAGATTAGAGAAACTTTTCTGAATTGAAAGGATAAATATTAGTCAACATATAACAGATGAAGATAACCACAGAATAAATCACTGGGAGAGAAGTTGTAGTTGATCAAAAATGTCAGGTTACCTAGGAAATACTCTAAGAGACATTTATCAAGAAAAATGTATATATAAAAAAAGAAATTTTAACCACAAAAATGTATGACTTTTAGTAAAGTACTCTTGAGTAACTTTTTATTCTCTGCCAGCACTCTGAGATATATGTTGCTGAATGGATTAATATTTTAAAAGTTAAAAAGATCAAAGTACTCACAAATCTCTCATTGTTTTCACTTTTGAACAGTTTAACAGTCAAATGATCTAAATGAGTATAACTGTACAAATCTGATTAGTTATATAATTAACACCATCACCAGAAATATCGACAAGGTTCAAAATGCAATGTTATCAACATTTAAAAAGCTTGAGAGCTCAATAACTAAAAGTATCTTGGATCAAAGAAAATTTTTTTCCTAATATCTATTCTAATCGTCTCGAATGTATAAGTTCAACTCCTGTAATTTGTAGGCACTGATCTTATACACACTCAGGAAATTATCTCAGTCCGAGGGATTTAAATAATTCTAATTCATACCAGATTTATTGATAGCACACATAAGTGCTACACTCGCAAATAGATCGAATGTTTAAATTAGAAAAGGTTGAAGTGCTATATTGTTCTGACTCTTCCACAATAGCTACTACTTTCAAAAACTGAAAATAACCCATGTTAAAAACATGCTAAATTCAACTACATTGCAGGGCCAAATACGGAAAACTAGTGTTTATACTTCTTGGTTGTAAGGAATATAATTAAAAATAGTTAAAACTGGACAATCAGCTATAATTTTTATATTATGAAAATCAGATGAATCTAACAATGAAACCCACAGGAAAAGAGATGATATAATTCAGGGAATATAACATCAGAATATGAAAGATAACAATTGTATCAATAAAACATAATGTACAGTTGTAAAATAAGTAAACAGTTTTCAAGTGTGCAAAACTAGTTGGGAATGAAAGTGCTATGTGGATATCTGGTTTTCAAATACTTGTTTAGAAAACTTTCAGTTAATGATGTAAAACCGGTATTTAAAATTTAAAGAACACATAAGACATACTTTATCTACATTATGCCTTAGAGGCATATTTAATCACTATCTTCATGTGACAGATATAATATAAATGGAGGTAAACAATGGTATTGTGTTCGATACCATCAAGGTTGATGTATCTTGAATTATAAAAAAAAAAGACTCTTTTCAAGTATACTGTGGGTTTGTGTTCAAACTTATATCTCAGGTAACCCCATGTTGATCAGGAAATTGAAACAACACAATTATTATTTTTAATAATATATAAAAATAAGCCATACATAACTACTTTTATGCAGTTATGCAAAGTTGCCACAATTTGGAAGTAACTATTAAAGAAATAAAAATTTAAATTAACGAAAATAGGCCTTATCACCAACACAATTTAAATAAACATTTAATCCTGCATAGAATGTTAGAAAAAACAGTTGGTACATTATCATAATTTGTCTTGGGATGCTTAATGTGTATGACTAAAAATACATCTGTGGTCTTTTCTTCACTTTGTATTTCAGTGAACCATATCGCACCTGAAGAGAGAAACATGTTATTATTTCAAACTTTCTGATATTTGATGGAACGTAAAGAGTTTATAAATATGTAATAATTTTTAAACTTTTCTGACAAAAGAATCAATTACCTTTTATTTATTTATTTTTGCTTTTTGGGTCACACCTGGCGATTCACAGGGGTTACTCCTGGCTCTGCACTCAGGAGTTACTCCTGGCGGTGCTCAGGGGACCATATGGGATGCTGGGAATTGAACCCGGATCAGCCGCATGCAAGGCAAACGCCCTACCCGCTGTGCTATCTCTCCAGCCCTGAATCAATTACCTTTTAAATGTGCAAAAGACATCACAATTTTCATACTCAGAATGTGGGCTTGTGGCGGGGGTGGGGGGGGGTAACATGGGGGGGCGGAGAGATTAGTAAGTACAGTGGGTAGAGCCTTTTGTCCTCACCCACCAGGAGTGATCCCTGAGCTCAGACCCAGCACTGCTGGGTGTAGCACCCAAATCAAAACAAAACATTAGGGCCGGAGTGACAGTACAGCAGGTATGGTGTTTGCTTTGCACTCGAAGGACCCAAGTTCGATGCCTGGCATCCCATATGGTCCCCCAAGTACCGGCAGGAGTAATTCCTGAGTGCAGAGCCAGGAGTGGCCCCTGAGCATTGCCAGGTGTGACCCAAAAAGCGAAAAACAACAACAAAAAACCCAAGACATTAAAAACAAACAAAATGCCTAATCAAAACAAAACATCATAAAATATTAAAAAATTCCAGCTGGGGCTCCATGCAGTGGACTAAGGTTAGGGAGCGTGTTGGGCGGTGGCTGATCCGTGTCGGAATCCCAGCACCACAGGTTCCCAGCACCACTGGGGTGGTCCGAGTATCTTCCGACCAAAGGCCCGGAGCAAAGTGGTATCTCAGGCTCTGACTGCAGCAATGTGGACGACTTGGGAGCATCTTCCTTCCCCCAGGCACCCCCAAAAGTAGCAGGCACTATGCTGGATACATAAGCTACAGATACCAATTTCTAATAACAACAAAAATGAATTTATTTTTGTTTGTCTTGGGGCCACACCTGGCGGTACTCAGGGGACCACATGAGGTGCTGTGGATTGGATCCATGTTGGCCTCGTGCAAAGCAAGTGTCCCGCTTGCTGTACCATCACAAAAATCATTTATGATTTATGATTTACTTGGGACAAGGTCAGTGATCATTATTCACTGTGGCCTGAGGCTATAAACTGGAATCCTCCATTCCTTTCTGGTCACAGTGACAATAATACAAACCTGTACAATTTAATCCTCAAGTATGGTTGGTTACAAACAAATCTCTGTCCTTAATTTTTTGAGTTGCTTTCTTTGCTTATGTGTTGGGCTGTCATGGAGTACTCATTACAACTATATAATCTGCCATGTAAGAATATAATTTTCTCTAGGAATTATCATTTTCTAAATTCTCAGAGCTCTTATACATGATATTAATAAAGGATCTTACATATACCAGCTGCTCTACCACTGCAATCCTTAATTTGAGGGTCATTAATACTATAAATGATGACACAGCCGGGATCTTTAATACTAATTAGGAAAAACAACTTTGTACTTGGCTAACCTCTTTGCGGCCTTTGCTGGTTTTCACAGATTTCATGCTTTGTGATCTTCGAAGTCCTTTGTGTGTTACCATCTCATCGTCTGAAAAAGGTCCTTCCGCTTCTTCATCTGTCTTCTCATCTCCATCTTTCAGAGAAATTACATACATGAGTGAGTTTTTCAAACCAGCATATTTGGATAGAAGGACAATAGCCAGCCAGCACTGCCTCTTCACCTGTTCCCTGCATGGTTCACAGTTGCCCAGTTTTGTCTCTTTCTCAGTTGAAATGTGATCATTCTCAGTAGGCTTGCGCCACTCCAATAGATAAAGCTAATAACTCATTTCTCCAGGAAGTTTTTCTTGAACATTTATTTCTTTTTGTTTGTTTTTGTGTCATACCTGTTGGTGCTCAGGGGTTACTCCTAGTTCTGCACTCAGGAATTATTCTTGGTGGGCTTAAGGGACCATATAGGATGCCAAGAAGTGAACCTGGCAACACTCTACCCACTGTACTATCTCTGTGACCCCTCCTTGACTACTTCTAATTTTACCAGCTTCATCATGTCTGTTTTTTACTATGGATCTTTGAGACTATTTATTTTTGAGTAGATAACTCTTATCTTGTTTAAAACTCAACAAATAAATATAGTGAATCGACTGGCTTTTTTTTTTTTTTTTGCTTTTTGGGTTACACCTGGTGATGCACAGGGGTCATTCCTGGCTCATGCACTCAGGAATTATCCTTGGCGGTGCTCAGGGGACCATATGGGATGCTGGGAATCGAACCTGGGTTGGCCACGTGCAAGGCAAATGCCCTACCCATTGTGCTATCTCTCCAGCCCAACTTTTTTCTTTTTATGCATCCTAAACATGCTATAAGCCATTATGTATTTTAGTGTTATTTGTATTTATGTTTTAATTAGGAATGAAGAATTCTCCCTCCATCTGCACCCTCCAGTCATGTGTTAAACCTTTAGGAATCAAATAAGGCCCAAAGGGACTAAAACTTTGGGCAAGATAAGTCCACGGGAAGCAGGTGACGGAGAGGGTCAACCAAACCAGCAGAGCTATAGTTGCTGAGATAGAACCCAGCCAGACAGGCTACAGTAATTAAAGATGCTGTAGGCTGTGATGACAGATGTTAGTCAAAGGAAAAAGCCGGCATCAGGAAGGTCAGTTAAAAAGCCGGTGTGGGTGTGCTAACAGGCTACTGTTCATAGCTACAAGGATTTACTCAGATGGGTCAGAGTGCAAATATCCAGATGGTCACGTGGATTCTTGTCAGGAAGTCTGAGAGCAACCTGAGGCTGGGATGCAGGCAAAACACACTGCTTCTTGAAACAGCTGTTCTAAAATCCTAGCGTAATGTTGAGAGTCACTTGAATAACACCTTAATTCAAACTGTTGGGCCGTTAGTGGGTCTACACTTCTAACTGCTGTCTCCCCAGGTTATGCAGCTGGCTCAGGATTCACATTCTAAGAATGTCTGCCTGGAAAGAGCAGGGTAGGGCTCAAGTTTCAGGCACCATCTATAAAGGCTTGGTTGAGAATACAAGGCCCCACTGCATTTTCAGTTTTCCTTTGGCAAAGATAAAGAGCATATATATGTAAATATTCAGATCAAAGAAAAATGTTTTTATGTTAGGAGGGAGGGCAAGGGACAAACTTCTTCCTTGTGAAGGGAAATATACTGAATAAGTATGAATCTCCTTTCTCAGGACATGAACCAACTTGAGACCGGAAGCAAACCACAAGGAGTTGTTAACAAGCCTCTTGTGTCATAATAAAATAACCATCTTTAATTGTATATTAAGCAAGTACATTTTTTTTGCTGCCAGATTTATAGGCTAGAAATTAGGAAGGATTTAGAAGCAGAATCGGTTGTTGCTTACACTAAGACGCTGTTTGAGGTAGGAGAGAAAGCAAATATACCAGGCAAGGGCGGAGCGTGACAGTATGAAAGAACTGGGAGGGGCCAGTGGGGCCAGGAAGGGAAGGGGGTCAGTAGTCCAGGGGAAAATGCTGCTGATGCAATGTAAGTGGCAAAAAAGTACACAAAAATAAGCAAATAAAAATGAAGCCACTACATCTCTTGGAAGTAAGTTTTTATGTGATTATTTTATTTTTCCTTTTTTAAAAAACTGACGAATTATTAGAAGTGGGGAAATAAATAAGAAAAAAGAGCTTTGGGAGTTGTTATTTCTATATTTTTCTCTATCATTGTTTCTTAAACAAAATTCTTGATTCTAATATAAAAAATTACCATGAAAGTTATGGTGAAGCAGAATTAAGAACCAAATGAAAAGTGAGAAAGGAAACAACTAGGACCCAAAATTCTCCTAAGACCACGGATCTTGTTCAATCATTGTATGACAGAAACCCAAACATGAAATTTTTGCAACTGTATCTCATGGTGATTCAATTGAAAAAAGACTACAGATCTGACTACGTAGAGCAATATAGCCTGATATATTTTAATTGGGTTTTCCTTTATGATCAGAAATTAATTTCATTCAAAAGATTTCTTTGTTTTCTAATTTCAGCTTAAAAAAGCTTATTAGCTTTCTTTCTGTTGTTGCTTCTGGGCCATATTAGGTGATGACCTTTGTGCTCAGGGATTCCTCCTGGTATCCTCCTGGTCGTGATTGGGATTGAACTGGGGTTGACAGCATGCAGAGGGAATTACTTGTACTTGTATTATCTCTCCAGCCTCCTTACTAGATTTCTAATTATAACTTCAGGAAAATGAATAGATTGATTTATTATTCACAAGTATTATAAAATATGTATGCAGTAATATGCTAAATTAAGGATACAATGATGAAAAACACACAGCTCTCCTTTATAATCCTGAGAAGTTCTATGTTCCAATAGAGGAAATTGATGGGTATTAAGATATTATACTGATGCTATAAATAGATGATAAGGACAGGTGTTATGGGAAGAGTAAGGGAATCAACTCAGCCTGGGTGCGGGGGAAGTGGATTGTGAGAGAAGACCTCTTGTAGGAGGTAGTGACTAAGCTGAATCCTGAAAGCCTCATGATTCTATATAATTAGCACATGATAAAGTGAGAGAACAGGATGGAGTGCTGATAAATTACATGCTATTGAGTTTGAACTGCATAAGGGAGCATGGGGTGCCACTGGGTGCATCTTAACCAGAAGAGAGACCGGATTAGATTTGGGTTCTTTATAGAGTCTTCTTGATCTTTGGAGAATGAATCGGAAGCAGAAGGCACTGGAAGGAATGAGATTATTCAAGTATGGCAGGTCAGAAATGATGGGGTAAAAGAATAAAAAACAGTGACATTAGTCAAAATTAGGTGCCAATAATTCATTAAACTAAACCCTCCATTATCAGAAAAATAGGAGTCTGGTCAGACATTTTAAGATATGAATTTTTGAAATTAAAACCTGGAAATGAAATATGTATGAAAGGTTTGCTTTGGGTGGAGAGGAAGAAGAGATTGTGAGAAATCCAAGTATGGGTGCCATACACACATTAGATCTTGGTTTATGGGCCTGCTAGGCTGGGGGCGGTGAAGTTGATGGGGCACGACTGGTGCTTACAAAGTCAATTCTAAGGCTGACTCCTTTGCACCATCCGTCTGGACCGGACAGGGTTCCTGAGGAGCACGGACTGGGAACCCAATGTCGGGAATCGAGCCCGGGTCTGGCGTGTGTAAAGCTAACACCCTCCCGCTCTACTATCGCTCCGGCCCCTTGCAGACACTTTTGCATGCTGACTTGGCTTAGTCACAGCTCAAGATCTTAAAATTGGTTCTTTTTAAAAAGATTTTACTCCGTATAGTGGTAACAATAGTCAATATTCCACCAAGAGTGATCCCTGAGTACAGAGCCATGTGTAAGCCTGAACATTGACAGGTCTGACTCCAAAATAAGCAATAATAAAAAAATAACAGCCAATATGAATGTAGACATTTTTGGACTAGACACTGCTCTGAGTAATTGAAATATATAACTTGAGTGCAAAATCATGGAAAGTTTTCAGTTGTAGAGATAGACAGCTCAACAGGCGGCACACATGCAAGAGGACTGGGTTCAAGATACTCCTGAGCACAGAGCTGGCAGCAGCCCCCAAGCATTGACTAGCGCAACCCTAGAACCAAAAAAAGACAAAAAAAAATCAAGCCAAGTCTGACTAGGAACAAGATGAGCTCTCTGGCTGAAGGAGCCCTGACCCTATATCAGAGAGAAATGAGCTCCATGCCACCTCTTCGTGGTGAGATTCTGAGTGAGTACTACCTCTCTGGGTGGGCCCCATTTTTGAGCGTGGTGAGAGAGATGAGTGATGACGAGTAGGTTTCTGGATGAATGTCAAGCCTTAGCCAGTGATGCTGTCTGAGGCGGAGTGCCAAGTGGAATTCTGAGTTGCCATGCAGAGGTGGCACAATCTACCACCAAAGGCACCGAAGAAGGGAGTAAGTGTGTCAGTGACAGGGCTGAGGATGTATACGTGAGATCTGGGCTTGATCTCCACAAGCCCTAACACGTCCCTATTTGTCATCTTTGACTAAAATATCTCTAAGGCCCCTTCCTACCAAAAGTAGTTGAATTCATGATTCCAGTGGTCTTATAAGGTGCTGTAAATTGAGGAGAAAAAGACAGAAATGAGATAGCCAAGTTTAGGAACCTTGGCTATCTCATTTCTGCCAGCGTGCACTCTTTGGTAACTGATTTAGTCTATTATAGTCTGAGTTTATTTTATTTTATTTTAATTTATTTATTTTTAGCCTGAGTTTATTTTAAAGATAAGGACAAAAAGATGAAACCTGTGGGCTGGAGAAACAGTACAGGAAGTAAGGAGCTTGCCTTGCATGTGACTGACTCCAGTTTGATCCCTGGCATTGCGTCTGGGGTTCACCACCAGGAGTGACCCCTGAGCACCAACCGGGTATGGCCCAAAATCCAAAAAAGAAAAGATTTTATTTTATTTATTTTATTTTTTGCCTTTTGGTCACACCCGGCAATGCACAGTGGTTACTCCTGGCTCTGCACTCAGGAGTTGCTCCTGGCAGTGCTCAGGGGACCATATGGGATGCTGGGAATCGAACCTGGGTTGGCTGTGTGCAAGGCAAACGCCCTACCCTCTGTGCTATCTCTCCAGCCCCAAGAAAAGATTT